GCACCCAAGGCACTAGCTGCGGGTCCTGCGACTGCGGGAATACGCATTTTAAGCGATGGTAAAATGCTAGTTGCTGATTTCTAGCCTTGAAAATCAGTTGATTTCCGAAAGGGTTGCGATAGTTACCAGGTGCACGGTCCAGGGTTCAAATGTTGTACTGTGCGGGGCTAGGTTAGCCAACCTTTCCATTCTTTTGGGTCGGTTAAATGTCATCAGACTTGTTTGAAGGAGAAGAACACTGACTTGTGCATAGGCTGCCGCTCCCCTTTCTTTCAAAATCGTATACGTCGAAGCGCACTGAAAGTGCTCTATGACTGTGGCTGAAGTGTATGCGTGATGCATTCCAGAAGAGATAGACCAACGCCGTATACTTCATGCTTTAAGTTTGTGTAAAAACCTGAACCACGTAGGCCTTATATTGTCCACATTCTTCGCGAAGGAAGCTGGTTTTGTTTGATGTACTTGATATTTGCGGTGGGCCAAAAGTCCCGTAAACATCGAATCCGGAAAACTTCGATCATTGCCATACATGTTATTAGCGAACGAATAACTGGTTATGGGAAACACTAAAAAAATGCCGATACACATGCACAACGACGGTCATAATGGGTCAAATATCTACTATACTGAGGCAGCGTGCTCAAGTAACTGTAAAAAAACTGATGATTTTATGAAAGCCTGCTTTATCTTTGATTGAAGGTAGCTTTGGGAGAACTCTAACTCCCCTTTCCGTTCAGTTTCACTGTTTGGCTTGAACAGCTTGGCAAAACTATGATTTCAGGGGTGGAATTCTCGCTTTCTAAAACGAAAATGAAGTGGTATGATGTAATAGTTCTGTAGGCCTAGGTGATTCAGAATACAACTCTTCTTAGGTGTTTAGAAGCGTGTACCATTGTGGAGATGATATGTGCACGAATTATCTTTGGTAGTTGTCTTTAGACCCCACAGTATTTAGGAACGGAAGGAATCGCCGGAGTTTTTCCATTCATTCAGTTGCTAACGTCTGGTTGACATCAGTAAGTAGCATCAAAAGTTAAAAGAAATGTTCAGGTTGGGCCTTTGTTGATTGGAGCGGCTAGTGCGATGGGGTTGCATTAGGACCATAAGACCTCTGGAATTGGTGCGTTGGGGGCGGGAAGTGTCGATGTCGTGGGAATGGCAGTTGATAGATTGTGTTTAATGAATGTGGCTGGAGTATTGTGTTGGATTGATCGTAGTCCTCATCTCGTCGCATCGACAGCGCTAGGAGTGGGACGCGGTTGGGCGATGGGGTCGGCGGTCGTGGGATAGGCGGAGGAGGGACAGGGAAACGACAGGTGTTAGGTAGCGCTGCTGTGTGCGGACAGTAGTCGGCAGGTGTGTGTGGTGTGGGGATAAGGTAGAATGGCGCCGCTAATGGTGTGGGGGTTGTGGCATTTGAGTTGTGCGTGTGAGTGGCGCAGCGTTGTGTGGGTGCGAATTTCTGGTTTCTTTCAGTTTAGTGTCTAAAATAAAGCAGCTTTTTTTTTTTAGGACGCTTACTGTCCAAAATGATGATATCGAGTAGTGAACATTTGAGGTATGTCCGCTGAGCAAGGATTATGCCGCTGGTGCAGACCAAGGCCCCGCGTCGAGGTTACCGAGAAGACATGCAGAGGATTGCACCATGTTCACAGACACACCTCACAGTGTTAACTGCCTACTAGGGGTTGCGTTGTTACTTTTTGTTGTGGAAACATGTGGCCACTATTCGTACTAAAGTGTGGTGTTTCTCATGTCTTGTATCTGTTTTTGTCTTCCGGAAAAGCTCTGGAAAGGGTGATAATGGTCAGTCGGTGATTACCTACTCACCAAATAGCAGTGCGGACAGTGAGGACGATGTAATCATTTTTATATCTTTTACATATTCATGGTGTTTAATAGTAACATCGGGGGAAAACATCCTGTTCCCAATAATTTCTTAATTTGTATCTGTTATCTAGGCGGTAACCCTGGAGGTGACAGATCCGGTCAATGTGAACTTCTCAATCAAGTACATGAATCAGTTCACGAAAGCTTCGTCACTGTCTAGCCGTGTTCGTATATCACTGAGCAATGACGTGCCCATAGTTGTTGAGTAAGTTTACAGTTAAATTTTTCTTCGAATCATGGCATTATTCTCCACTAAGTGAGAAGATGGAGGATGAATGAGATTGTGTTTTCTAGATATCCTTTAACTGATGATGGGAAGTCCACCGGCCAACAAAACGGTCATCTTCGGTTCTACTTGGCCCCGAAGATTGATGAAGAAGAGAACATGGATTAAGTTGGAATTGCCTCGCATTACGCGCTTACTACTCACAGTACACATTTTAACATTTTATTCATTATTTGTCATGTTTCTATGTTTTAACAAAGCCTCGTAGCTCTTTCTTTGTTAATTTCGGTGTTTGTATAAACTGGATCTCACAGTATTACATGAATTTCAAGGTGTGAGTCTTCAAATGTTAACCGAGTACTTCCTGTATATCAGATGGAAAAATCTTGAGTTAATTAAAGTTTTAGCATACTTCTATTAGTAGACCGTGAAAACTGTGAAAACCGGGAAAAGCTAGCAGGCTCACAAGGAAAGGCTCCAGGTCGCCATGGCCATTCAAGAAGAGATGTATACGCCTAGATGTGCCTTTGAACGCTGATCTCAAATCTACCTTCCAAATCTGCTAAACGATTCTCTGAACGGAGTTATGAAGCAAAACAGCGCAACGGTAGTGGTCGGGACTCACAGTCAAAACGTCGTAGGATCGGTCCCTTATCGTGATTACTGTTTTGCATTCTTCAGGAATTCAGTTAAATAAGCTATTAAAAGCCGTTTAGCTGTATTCCTGAAGAATGGAAAACAGTAAACACGATAAGGACCGATCCTACGACGTTTTGACTGTGAGTCCCGACCACTACCGTTGCGCTGTTTTGCTTCATAACTCCGTTCAGAGAATCGTTTAGCAGATTTGGAAGGTAGATTTGAGATCAGCGTTCAAAGGCACATCTAGGGTATACATCTCTTCTTGAATGGCCATGGCGACCTGGGAGCCTTTCCTTGTAGTCGTACTTGATCAAGAACATCTGCGAATCATTTTTGAAATCTAGTTTGAGAACATTGGTCGTAGCAAGGTTAGTCCGTAACAGAATCTCATTCTTCTGAAACGTTGTTAGTCAAAGGTTTATGGGTGTTAAGTTTTTACTTCACACCTATAAACCTTAGTATTCCGAAGTATTTCACGTTATTTCATGCGCTTTTTGATTTCTTGTCGATTGGTGGTCTTTTGGGGTCAGTTTGAGAAGGACGCAATATCTCGCGCTTGAATGTGATTCACCCATACTGACTTGCGAAGTGGTCGATACACAAAGAAGTGTTTTTGCTTGTTGTTCGTTATTTTATTCGAGAAGACCTATTGTCA